TTTTTTTTTCCTGGCTCTCCTATTTAAATGAATACAAAATAATATTACCTGAGGAGAAGGAAAATACTAATGTAAAATATGTGCTTAGCAATATGTCACCACTTAAGGAGGAGTTGTCCCTTGCCATCGCAGCATAAATTTTGCTACACAAATTACAATATAAATTCCTCTTTAAATCACTAAGGAAACTTTTTACTGAGGATTTTCTTGTTTGAACTCTGACAGAGTCTCCCGAAGATGTAGCTCCAACAGTTGGCTTTTCGAAGATTGACCTTAAACAGGGACGATTTGAAGTCACCATCTTTGATTTAGGAGGTGGCAAACGAATTAGAAACATCTGGAAGAATTACTATGCTGAGTCCTATGGCGTGATATTTGTCGTGGATTCCAGTGACATAGCAAGAATGGAAGAAACAAAGCAAACCATGATGGAAGTTTTAAACAGCCCGAAGATATCAGGGAAACCCGTGTTAGTGTAAGTAATATAAGTAAATATTCTAATAATCTGAAATCTAGTAAATTTTGAGTTTCAATAATTCTGTTGAAGAAGAATTTATGTATAGTATACATAAGTATGCAGCACTTGGGCAGCATTCTAGTATTATTGCTAATACTACAGTTTTTCCTGTATTTGAAATATTTATTCTTCTAACAGGGAATAGCCATCAAAATTATTTTTTCTTTCCTTTTTCCTATTTTCTTTTCCTCTGTAGTTGCAGATGGAGATATACTAATCCATTCTCTATTGGACTTTATATATCTCTATATAGCCCTTTTCAGGGGAGTTTTTCTCTTATTTTTCAGCAGCTGTGGGAAAAAATAAGCATTGTTTTAAAAAAAAATAAGATTTTAGTGTTGCTTCAAATAGTATGGTAAGACTATGCAAGTTTGGTGTGACAGCTTCGTGCAAAAAATCTTGTAATTGCTTAGGCCTACATCAAATTCATAAATCCTAGTAACTGTTATATTCTATAATACTAGTAAACTCTTGGCAATAAATAACGTCCTCTTCACCTAACACATGGTGGTGCTGCTGATACATGATCAGCAAAGCCCCACTGTAGAAAGCTTGCTTTGATAATATTTGACTTTCACTGTCGCTTCAGTGCATGTGTTTTAATTCAAAAAAGTTGAAGGTTTCAGAAGATTCTTTTTTTTCCTCCACAGATCAGCTATAAATTTTATTCATAAATTTCCAAAAAATATTATTAGCTACAGCGTATTTTATTAAATTTAGCTATGAAAAATGTGGCAAGAAAAAAATAATTTTAAAGCTATAAAATAAAAACTTAAAGTAGGAAATGGTTTATCAGGACAATCTCTTTGTGTGGGGCATAATTTTTTTGCCAAGTCGGTAATTACCCAGTGTTTCAGTAATACTGTTAAGAATCTCTGCTTAGAAAACTCTCTTTTAAGAAGTAATGATGATACTTCTTTGAGGTCTGAGGTTGGAAAGTAGAATTGTCTAATCTGTTTTGATCAAATGCAGTGTAATTCAGAAAGCTAGCAGAAGCTGTGTTGAGAAACAGATGAGGTTTTAACTTCCATTGCTGTCTGAATGGTAATGATAAAGGAGAGGCAGTAAAGCTATCTTACTGCAGGTAGTTCAACTCAAATCTGTTTTTCTGAAAATGAAAATGTGACAGTTTACAACTGTGCAGAATTTCTAAATAAATAATTCTATTTTCCTAAAAAAAAAAAAAAAGTATTTGTGCTGTAATAGTGACTGTTTGTACCTGCTTTCCTGGGACTTAATCCTGCTTTTCAAACCATGTCAGTATCTAATCAGAAGGCAGAGTATATTAACCAAGTCTAATAGTGACTAAATTTAGTTCATTGATGTTATTGCCTTCAAATTGATTGAGTATCAAGCCCTCAAACATAATTTGTTCTTGCAGCGTCCCACTTCTGCAAAGCAGCCCAGTAGATCATAGTCTAATGATCCCTATATGAGTCTGCATCCTGAATTGTGTATTCTCTAGTGACATTGTCCTTGTTTCCTGGCATCTTCAGATTTCATAAACCATAGAAATGTCTTCAGTATTTGAAGGATATCTCATACTGTGCAGCCTGCAAATTGTGAAACTGGAGGACTTGGCCAATAAGTGTTTGGTGTGGAAATGTGTGTGTGGAATGGAAATAAAGTGCTTAGCAAATGAGATGAAATTGGTTCCATGTACTTCCCAGTGCCTGAAGATGTGTTTGGGGCGTGCTAGTGAAGCCATGTCACTTATACTCACCAAATAAGAGTCCCATTGCATGTGCGCGTGTTTGCCTGTAGGGATATGAGGGGAAAAAAAAAATATATATATATACACACACACACATATATATATGTGTGTGTATATATATATAGAGGTACATTTTTTCTTAAAAAAAAAAAAAAATCCCGAAAAAGGAATATTTATTAAGAGCAGAATAAGGGAAATGTCAGGTTTCCAAAATTGCTGTGAAAATACTATTTTTCTGATGTTTTTCCCTCTTTTAAAGAGGTCCGTGTTTTTGTTGTTTGTGTATACCTCAGAGAGAAAACATTACTTTGTCTGGAAAATACTTTTAAAGAGAAATAAACTGTAAGCATAAAATTTAAATAAATAATGATCATAAATAGTAATATCACATACTCTATGTGTATGCAGCAATAAATTACATAAAATCTTACAGAACTTGGTGCTAAAATTAGTGTGTTTGGAGCTTGTACGTGCATAGAGGAAGGGGAGTACTTAGTACAAACATTGCAGTCACCTCTGAATGTTTTAAATCTAGAAAAGCTGGAGTATAGTTCATGTAAGTCCCTTCTCTGCCGTGCTCTTGCGATGAAAAGCATAATTGATTTCTGGTTTTGTGGAACAGTGTTGTAGCTTCATGCCAGGTGAGATGCTGCTCTGTGGTCGTCTTGCTCCAGAAGTGGGTCCCTGTTGTGTGGGCTGTTGCTTTGTTCCTCCAGCACTTGAAAGGAACAAGGAGAAACTGAAAACCAGTTAGGCCTTTTGCGCTTTTTGTTTTCTCTAGGCGTGTGAATTTAGGTAGTGCGTTATTTGTAGGCTTAAATACAAAACACAATTTTTCATTAGGTAATATTTATTAGAACTAAGAAATGATTATTAAAAATTACTGAAAAAAACTAAGTCATAGTTTACTGCCTTTCATTCCCTTGGAGAGAGTGTTTACTGAGGAATGATGAAAGCAGTACTGAAATGAAACAAATGAGTATTTATACTGGATATTCATGTTTCCTTATTAAGCACAGATTGAGGCAATGTACTAAAGTTTCAACCATAAGCTCTAAATTTTAGTCTAATGTTGTTTATTTTAACTTGTGCTATGTGCAGTACCTTGTACAGTTAAATGCAAGTATGTACTCAAGATGGAGGAAAGACCTTTCTGGATTTCAAAGGCAATAGTAGAGCTGCTGTATTTGTGGTGTTAGATGTACTCAACAGCTTGCTGTCCTTTACCCTGCTTCCCTTCTTCCCCCCCTCCACTTTTCCTCTTCTACTGCAAAGAGACATTTTCTTTCCTTTTTTTTTTTTTTTTGCTATTTTCTTTTGTGTTTCTGGGCTTTCATTTATCTGGAAAAAACTAATTTTTCCAGTTGAATCAAGAGAAATCAAATCTGTATGGCTAAGATATAGCCTTGAAATATACTGCTGCTCGGTTTCTAAAGTCCTCTTGGTTCCTTGCTTCTTTCCTTCCTTTTTTTATTCTTTTCCCTATTACATTTAACCCTAGTACTCATAGGAATAACCATTCAAATTATCAGGTTATCCATAACATGTAAAATACTACAGAGTATAGCCACAAACATTTTCTTTATACTAACTAATGAGGAAAGAATGGTACTGGAGTGGTATTGATGGTAGAGAGGCTACCCCTATGGATGGAGGAATTAGTCTCTAGACCATAATTCTGATCTCCCAGAATGCTACTCTGTGCTTTTAATGTTGTGCTTTTAATGTTGGTAGTTTTCTCCCTAATCCACCTTTATGTTTCTGGACTCTCTCAGCAGATGTAAAAGCAAAACTAGAAATAGAAATTCCAAGTCAAGTCAATAAAGAGCTACTAGAGCTATTAATCTGTTTCATTTGTAGAGTTACTGGTGTTCTGAATATTAGGATTTGAATTCAGGAGAATGGCATTGTTGAATATTTTTAGAAAATGAATTATTAAATTTGAACCTAGGAGGAAATAAAACATAATTTATGTAATTCTGTACTGAATGAACACCTTCCCTGACGTATTCATGTTTTCTTGCAACTACATCACTCGGTTGTGAAGTCTGAGACTTCTCCTCTCTTCCTCCGTGCAGCATGGAGTGCTGGCTGTGCCGTGGCTGCGCACGCTGCGTGTGGAGGCCGTGCCGCGCGCAAGCTCATCGCTCCGCTCTCTGTCGCCTTTCAGAGTAGGCAAGGTGGAGGAATTCCATCTAGTTTTGCTTTCTCACCTCTACCCATACGAATTTGTCCTTGCAAAAAGGGTCTAAAAAGATAGTTGAAAATACTTTTTTTTTTTCCCCCTTAGTCCCCAAAGGGGATACTGTAGCTATAATTTATCATCTAGGTATTGAGAAGTGTACAAGATGCATATCTGGAAGAATTAGGGTGGGAAGGAGGTGGGAGAATAATTTTGGATTCCAAACCAAGTAATATTCCAAAATTTCCACATAATTTTGGATATTTTGTCTAGTTAGTATTGTAAGGTGTGCAGTGAAGCAGTTTTAACCATCATGTCTGGAGGGCTGGGCAATTGGATCAGAAGTACTTTTGTGAACTAGGTGGAAAATTATCTCCTTTGGAATACTTTAGAATCTTTGGGGTTTAAGAGTAGCCTCACTTTTTTTTTTTTTTTTAAGTGTATATTTTGCTATGGGGGGAAAAAAAAGGGAGAAGACACTGGCTATAACTTTTTTTAATGCTCAGTTTTCCTGAGAGTATTTTTTTTTCTTTTTCTTTGAGAAATATAACATTTCCACATAATATGTAATTATTTATCAAAACAAATATACTTTTCTCTAAAGCACTGTACATAAGTAGCATTTATATCATTTAATGTCTCCTTGGACATGTATTGTTTTTTGTCAGCTTTAACATTTAACATGCTAACATTTGCATTCTTCATGATTTTGATGCCAAATTGCCACCATAAATTGCCCTGGGCAGAGGAGTCTGTCATGAAGAGGACCCGCTGCCAAAGAGTTTGGGGTGCAGCCTTTGCTGCTAAGTTGGGCTGGGGTCAGCGGCCCTCTCTCCCTTTTGCTGCCTTTTCTCCCATCCGTATTGGTTGTTTTATGAAATGCCCTAATCCCATAGATGCCTGTGTGTGTGTACCCGCTTTTTGCGGGGGAGAAAAAGAAACATCGCTGGCAGAAGAAAGGAAAAGAAAGGGAGAAGGTAAAGGGTAATGTGCTGCTGCTTGTGCTGCCCGGTGAAGGAAGGGATGGGAGGCAGTGACCTTGAGCGCTCGCTGTCCAGGGAGAAGTGGAGTAGAAAAGGAGTGGACTGGACTGTGCAGTGTGGGCACAAGATCACTACAGTGGACACTGTCTTGCAGCAGTGTCGGGGTATAATTAAGATTTTTGCTCTTGTTCAGTATGATACCCAACTCAAACTGATGTAGTGTGATGGCATCAATATATTATCTATTGCCAGCCATGGTGGTTGCAATATTGATTTAAAAGACTTACCTTAAGAGTTCTGATGGCTTTGGCTGTTGTTTGTTTGTGGTATGGATTACTCTAAGGTCATAAACTTGCTTCAGTAAAGTGGAATGTTTTCACTTTGCCATATTCCTATTTAATGTTTGCTTTGTCCATGAAGGCTGTGTAGGAAAACAGAAATGCTTTACATAATCAGTCTATTATGTAAAATTTAAGTCAGTCTTAAGTTCATATTGGTCATTTTTTATTGTCAGTGTCATCAGGATTTATGAGAGTCTGCCAGGTTAATTCTTTTTCTTTTTATAATTGTTTTCTTCTGTGATTTAACCACTTACACTTCGTAATATATAAGGAAATATAAGAAGTATGGGCCGGTCTGTTTTTACTTTTTTAAACTTCGACACAATTTCTTACCAGAGTAAATTTTAGCAGGTCATATGCTATGGCTGGTATTTTTATACCAGATGGATCCCTAGGCAGGTATTTTTCTTGGTAGAAATCTACTTTTTTACCTGTTGTTTCAAGGATGAGGGAATATAGTTACAAAAGTCTCTGATGTTTATTAGCTTACCAGTAACTCTGCTTTAATTTGCTGTTCTGCATAACCATATAGATAAAGAAAATTCTGATCATTATAAGTACTCTATAAAATTCTCATGATGATAATGTAAGTTTTGGTTATGATAATTAATTTGTTAATAGCACTTATTATGAAAAAGCTTTGCACAAGTCTATGTGGTTTTCTGCCTTCTCAGCTCTTTATGTACATTATGCCCATTGCTGTTTTGCTGTTCTCTGTAAACTACTTGAATTATTTAGTTGCTAGTGGATAGGTAGCTACTCCCATGAGCGTTACTGAAATTTGAATTTCCTTCATGATTTAACCTATAACTACAGCGTCTTTGCAATGAGCGTGGCCTATTTAAAAGTGCGTGTGAGGTGAAGGGCCAGCCCAGCAATGCGTTTCCCCCCCAGCTCAGGGTGCCTGTGTGAAGGCTCTGCCCGGGGTGCGGGTGAACGCGCGGCGGCCGCTCTGCTCCTTTGCTCTTCTGCTGGCCCCGGGGGAGCTGCTCCTCGCAGGTGGGCAGCAGGGCCTCCCTTTGAAAGGGCTTGGCGGTGGCGGGAGGTTCCCTTCGTGCCCCGTGTTCTAAAAATGAAAATGGGAATAAAAGATGTGGGGGTGTCTCTGTGTGTGTGTGTATATATTTATATACACATTTGCATAGTGTGTGCATATATGTATGCTATATATAAGAGCCTGTTGACTGTAGCCACTTTTTTCTTTACATTTCCTATTGACTTGTTTCCACATTATAAAGGTGGCTATATGTAACAGATGAGGGAGGTTATTTAATAGAGTAGTGTTGGTGGTGCCATTGTCTGATTTATGTTCTCTGCTGCGTAAATAATCTTTCTCAGTTTAATGTTTAGACTTCTCTCCTTTGAAAACAGTTATTTCAGTTGTAATTTTAAGCTGAGGTGGAAAGAAAGCATCTGTTTTTAAAGCTGGCAGCATGGGAATAGTTTCATAAGTCTTTAAATATGAAAATTAATTGTGTGCTAATAGAAAAAAATCAAAGCCATTCACCTTGCTCACTGTCTTGCAGCATTGCAATGCCATTTGTTCTGATTTCTCTGTCTGTATCCAGCTAAAGTGGTATTGATTGTGCTTTTGAACAGCACATAGGAGTTTAGGAATGCATTCTTGGGGAGTTTCTTGGAAATAACTCTTGCATCTCAGTTGCGCTTTGGTTTTCGTTTAGAATTGTGTTGCAGTGATTTCTCATTCAGTTCCAAGAGGGGCTGGGTATGGACTAGAAGCCAACAAGTGGGATCGAGTAAGGTAGAAGCACCCCACGTCCACTTGCTATTTCTGCACTGCACAAAGACCTGCTGCTGGAAAAGAAAGCAGTGGTGTACTTCCCATCTTGCTAATTCAGCTGCTTCGTGAGGACAAATGAGCTCTCCTCGGGCACAGGTTGAGGCCAAGGGTAGCTGCTCTTAGCTTTCCCCCTCATTTCAACGGTTTGCAACATCAGGGGACACATTAATCTACCTCATTAGAAGGTGGGAAAAGAACAAAAACAGCAGGATGCATAAAGCGTAACTAAAAATACCTCTGTGGATTGTAGAGCTATGAAATCTTGCAAGGAGATTTTTAGATACCTTTGCCTTTTATCAGCTCGTTTTCCACGTAGGATATACAGTGAAGGTGATATATAGTGAAGGTGTTGACAGTAAAATGTCTGTTTATTTTCATTAAATGATGGGAACATGCTATCTTTGTTACACCAGCCCCACTGGCAGATGTGATTTAAATTATCTGAGTTTAAAAGAAAATGATTAGGGATACATGGACATGCAGGCATGGCAACAGCATCATTATAAATGAAACTAAAGCTTGAAAAAATAGTTTGTTTTTTTTTAAGGAACACTGCATGGGAAGTAAAAAGTAAGTAGGAATAAAAAGACGGGAGGCAAACACTGTCGATAGTCTGGAACTTGGAGGATGGGCAGCTGTCCCCGTCTCATGGAGCTGATACAAAAGAATGGGGATGTGTGTGTTCACTTATGATCTAACCCTTGGTAGTGTTTTTTCATTGGATTCCATTGCAAGTCTTGCAGATGTGAAGGGGTAGCAGCTGACAACCTTCAGTTTATCCGTAGAAATATAGTATCTGGAGTCTGTAATCTAAAATGTTGAATGTGTTTTGCCACTAGCATTTTCACGTTTTCCATGTATCTTTAAATGGGAATGTCCAGATACTTGCGTATGCCCAAGGATTTCTGATGTTACTTATGTTCCACTTTTTAAAATGCAGAACTTGAAGATTAAATAATGTGCGTTTTAAGTGGCATAGAGACTGACAAAACTGACCAATGTGATATTTGTTAAATGTAAAGGAATAAGATAATGGTTTTTAGGAGTCTAAAAGAATGTCTTTTGCACATTTATTTCATATTCTTCTTTAAAAGCATTGATTTTGCTACAGTTAGTGATTTGATTAAATTGCTGTATTTAAAACTGAGTCTTGAGTTACCTATGGAAGCCCATAGATCACTCAAGTATAATACGGAGCACAAGTGTTAAGTTCTATTTTTAACATTAAAACAGCTTAACTGAAATGAAACAAAATTCTTAGTGTTCTTTATTCTTCTTTTTTTTTTCATTTTGTGTCAATTCAATTACAAAGATAGCATGATGACAAGTTTAAACCTTTCAAGGATGCTTAGGTGCATGCTCTTGTATTGATCATGGATGTCTTCTGCAATAGGATTAGGTTCTAAGGGGAGCTTTTCCTCTCTAGTACTTTGTGCATTAACCTTGTGTTTTTAAGTGAAAATTCTGACCTCTCCAGCAGTGAGCAGAATGTCATAGAACCACTTGGTGGTCTGAAAAGCCCCACTGCTGCTTTTGGCCATGCATGTAGCAATACAAGTAAACCAAATCTGAGATTGAGTCGGGATTTGGACTCCGCACCACAGGAAAGACATTGGTATCCTGTAGTGAGGGCCGTGTGCTGGCTGGCTGCTGGAGCATGAGGTAGAGGCCGGGAGCTGGGTTTGCTCAGCCACAAGAGCAGGAAGCTCAAGGGAGGACTTAATCCTGTCTACAGCTGCCCCGTGGAGCTCGTGGAGACCCGGTTCTTGTCAGAGGAGCAGTGTCTGAGAGCTGCAACCAGCTCCTGTCCAGCTCAGAAAAGAGGTTTCAGTGAAGGGAGACCGCAGTGACAAGAGCTTAGCAACACAGGCTTCACAGCAACAAAAGTATGCCCTATCACTGGGTAATAGAAGTGTCATTTTTCCCTTATCTGATAGGATCTGCCTATATAGTTGAATAGTCTGTCAGTCTGTTAACACTTGGCTTTTCAGCTGTTTCCTGGCAAACGTCCCCATGGTTTTGGTGATGTGGTCTTCTGTCTTTAACATGTTCAGAAAATACCACCTCAACACCTAAGATACACTGTTAAAATAGATAACCTGGTGTCCATTTCACATTCCAAAGGACAGCGCATCCTGCTCTAATATAAAACTAATGTTATTTCGTGGTGTTAAGATGGCCTTTGGCTTCTTTTCCTAGCTGTTCCCCCATTTCTCCCCCCTCTATTGATCTGAAATTCAACTTTTCTTGGAAGTAACTGCTAGCGACAGTATTGCAGCAGTCTTTTGCTGTTCCGATTTCAATGTGGTTCTTGAAACCTTTAGCTACATTTTTTGCTTTAGTCCTCAGGATCATGATTTTTACTGAGCGTATCCGCTTTATATATGGATATTTTTGTAGACCTTTAAGAAAAACTTAATTTGAACCAAGTTAATATGAGCACTCAAAGATGACAAGGAAATTAAAAATACCTTTTTTTTTTTCCTTTTAATAAGAGGCAATTAAGCCAGTCTTTTTGAGATTAGCAGTATTCTTAATGCTTCCCAAAATGACAGGCAGTTTGTTTGCCACATTTTGGTTTATCTTCTGGAGAAAAGTTGGGCTATTGAAGTGTGAAAGAACAAAAGCCTATAACTTCTCTCATTCTTACCCATTCGTATGATTCTTGTGTGAGTGTGTGTTTGTGTAAACTGATTCAGAAAGAGGTGGAGATCCTGTCACATTCTTCCAGCTCTGTTTGGAAAAATGCAATATTTTGGTGAGATGTGTGGAATGGGAAGAAGCAAGTGGGAAGAAAAACGGAGGAACAGAGGGATCCAGAGACTGGTGCAGTTTATACTGAAGAGGAACCATTCGTATTGCAGATATTTTATTTCTTTGTCATCTGCAGCATGGGCAGCACCAGCAACATATTGCTTTGCAAGGGTTTCTCTTTCGATATTTGACTGCAAGCCCAAATTTTTCTCTTGATATTTGAATGTATTCTTGAGTATTGTTCATAGCCATTTCAATGTTGTTGATCATCTCCCCTTGCTCCTCCACGAGAACTGAAATCTGGATAAAAAGTTCCTTCAAGTCTTTGATCTGGTTCTCCAGACTGACGAGCTCTCTGTGTCTCTGCTCAATCTCTGAGAGCTGCGCTTTGGTAATTTTTACTTCAGTGAGCAGATTTTCGTTAAAAATCTCCCATTTTCCTTGTTGGAGCATATTATTGACTTCTTCATCAGATACCTCTTTACCAGCAACTTCCAGCTGACGAACAATAAATCGTCTGCATTTTTCTTGCTTAGCAGTGATAGCGTCATTGTATGCGAGCATAGCATTTAGGTAGCGCTGGAACAGGAAAGCATGGTGGGAAGTCAGAATTCTTACTATGGCAGATGATGAGCCATGCTCATTTTCAGCTTTTTTCACTGTTTTTGACAATTCATCCAAGCATTTTCTAATGTGCTCTGCTTGAATTTTTATTTCTCTTGCTATGTTAGATTCCTTTTTAAGGACACTGAATCTTCTCATTGAAGATGCTAGAGTTTTTTGTTGTTGACTGAACTTATGAACCTCCTCCACCAAATTATTAATTTCATTCTGAAGCTTCTGGATTTCCTGCAAGTGCCTCTCGGTTATGGGCTCTTTCTCATAAATTATAGCCTGTTGTTCAAGCTCTTCGTGCTCTTCCTGTGCAGTTGTGGTGCTGTTTTCTCCAGCTACCTGCAGTTCCTTAGCTCTCAGTTTAAGCTCTTGAAGACGATCTCTCATGACGTTTGTGTTCAAGACTTTTTTTTTTTAATTATTTTTACTCTCTTGCAACACAGAATTAACTCCAATATCTTTTATCCTTATTTCACTGTAATCAAAGTGCAACAATAATTCATGTTAGTTATCTATATGCATGAAAAATAGTTCTGGAGATTATAGAGAGCTACTTTCCTAAGCACAAATGTGATGTAAAAGTAGCAGCCAGCAAGAAGTTGAGAACAAAAGTAAGATATAGGTGATGTCAGTGTGCTCTACCCCCTAGTGTCTGTAGCACTGTGGCAAATTTGTAGCATAGGATCTAGAATTTAGAAAAGCTGGCAATACGGCATGTGGAGATGGTGTTTGTTTTGAGGAAGAAAAGTGACTCATTCCAATTTTACTGTAATTCCTTATTTGATGAAAGGAAAATAATCCACTATAAGTCTTAAAAAATAGAAGTGAATGTGCTGCTCCATTTCTGCATTCTCACTGGGAAACAGCAATTCAGCTTCTGAGGTCTTGAGACAATCCCTCTTAAAGATCAGAATTTTGGTTCAAATAGGCTGTTCTAGACTTTTAGTTCAGCTACACTTAAAAGTCTGCCTGCATTTTTTTCATGCCTTCCTTTGCTTGGGAAGTTAAAACTGATGGTAACAGAAACAATTTTAGGTCAAAACAGAACAGAACGGTAATAATTTAGTGTCAAAACATTTCATGCCTTCCTTTGCTTGGGAAGTTATTTTTTTTGTTAATGTCTGAGTATTTTTAGAGGTGGATGTAGTATTCTTAGTGTTGGGGCCTGAAGATATTTCTAAACCTTTTCTCAATTACCATCTTTTATACTATTTTTATACTGTTAGTTGCAATATTTGTAAAATTTATCATAATCTGTATGCCATCTAGGGATATGGTTTGATGCTGTTTTTCATATAACAAAGTGGATATAGTTAGCTGTTCTCTGTGCTTCAGTGGGGATATTTAAAACCTCTGAGAGTTTTATTAATAAGTGTACCTATTAAAGTGATATTGAACTTTCTACTGGAAATGGATTTTGTACAAGATATGAGGAACATACCTTTCAAGTGACAAGGGGTATAGCATTCAGTCCGGCCTTGTGTGTTCATTCTTAATTTCATCAGTTCTTTCTGAACATCGAAATATTTCCTAAAAATATTTAAGTGGTTTGCTTGAAGACATCTTTCATATAATTTTTTTTAGAAAGCTCTTAGAATTGGCAAATTGTAGGAATTGTTTTATAAATATATTTCCACATTTATTAAAAAAATATAGTAGTTTCTGTTGTAGTTCTGTTCAGTAGTAGTAGCTGTTGAATGTCTACCTGCCTTAAGCCTAGCAATATCCGTGAAAGGGGATCTTCACCCCGTTATGCAGAGCAATGGAACGCAGACCAAGTGGCCCTGAAAAATAAAAGTCATAAATGTGAATATTTTTGAATTCAGCTTTAATCTTAAGTTAAGAAGTCATATATATAAGGAACAAGAATTTTGGAAGGGTTGCTTTGGGGACCTTAAGCTCTTCCATTCATTGCGCCACATCCTGAGCTTTGAGATTTAACTTAGCTTTTCAAAATGCACATATTGAAGAAAGTGTTTTTGATAGTAAGATGTTTATGTTGTATTATATAGAGGAGAAATCCTTAATAGTAGCAGGTGGCTTCCAGGAGCTTTCAGATGTTAGTCATGTTAATGAACTTGGACTTAAAGCATGTAACATGTCCACTCCACACACTTTTATACACCTGATGGACAGCTTGTCTTTCATTGAAATTTTTCTTTTTTTGTTATGGCCATTTCTGTGCTGTTGCTATTGAGTACTTATTGTTCCTGCTACATGAGCAAAACGGGGTTACTTCATTCTGTCCGAATCAGAATTATTGATCACTACAGCTTTGATGTTGGCTAGCGTTTGGATTTACTCATTAGGTTAAAATTTTGTGTAAGTGGTTAGTTGGCAGTTGGCTGGTATGTAGTGCTGTTGATGGGATGTCACAAATTCTCCCAGCCAAAAAAATATTTGGCCGAAGGCGATAGCTGAAGAGTTACAATTACAAAATGATTGTGAAAATTGTGAAGTTAGCATTCCACTGGGCCTGAGATAAAGTATAGGACTGCAAGTCGCATGTGCAACTTGGTTTAGCCTTTCAGTGTTTTATTTGTAAACCAGGGTTGCTCTTTTAAAATCTAAGACCACTTAGGGCAGCCTTCACGAAGCTGATGTGTTTGCCTTAATCCTGCTCGCTATCTTGTTATCTTTGCCTGATTAAACAAAGCAACCTGTTAGTGAGGGTAGATAATCTCTGTATTAAATATTTCTGTTGGTAACTTTATTATGAAGAAGCCAAAACTTTGAAGCATGTTTGCATGTGTTTAGGAATACCAAATCCGGTACCCAGCCTTTTGTCTTAGTTAAGAGAAAGTTTCCATTAGGTATGCTTTAGAAAACTTGTAAGTTGAACTATTTTTAATTATGTGGGAGAATACAGTTTCTTCAAACATTCCGTGAATGTTTTTCTTGGACAGTGATCAAGAATGGAGAAGAACTGAAGTGTTCAGAAGCAGATGATTTATTGGAATTAACTTGTTTCCATCACATTAAGTACGGATTCTGGAATTGCTTAGAATACGCCATGCCATGGCTGCACAGTGACTCACGGCTGACTCGGAAACCCTGTTCTGCTGTGCCATCAGAAAAGGTCCATATCCTTAAGCAGTTAACGTTTAGGAAGGCTGCTTGCATTTTCTTTGCTTTTCCTTAAAATTTCTTTCTTTTCCTAAAAGTGGACCCTTCGCACAGAGGTGAAGGATAACATTGTTTTGCTGTAGGCATCTATGTGAGATGCCTGGTTAGGCAGTCTATGTTGGCAGCTCAGCTATCCGAGGGGAGGGTGTGAGTGTGCTCTTCACACAGATACCCCGTCTTCTGCCTGCTGCCCCCCTGTGGTAAAGATCAATTCTTGGAATTTACGGTTTTTATTCAGGGTCCTCCAGCTAATTGGGTGTCTCACTTTGAACTGGTTGTTGAAGCATACAGTAGAATTTTCTGGCTGGTTTTAGAGATTTCAGGACAAAGTGATAAAGCTTTTTTTTTTTTTTTTTTTTTAACAAAAAGCATCCTTTTGGAATGGCGCAGTAGGTTCAGTGCAGTAAATTGTCAGTAGGCAGATGATTTTGTTACCTGTTAACAAATGACACTGCTGTGGTTTCTCTGGACCCTAATGCATATTTAAGCCTCTAAATAGATTTTTGCACAACATAAGTCGTGGAATTGAACAGAGTGAACATGTTTTCCACAGACTTAAATCTGTCTATCTGCAGAAGGATTAGCTGAAAGCATAGTTAAAATGTCACAAAGATCAATCATTAGAAAGAATGATATTCTACTTTAGTGTGGTTGTTGGTGTGTTTTTTCCCTAACTTTTTTCATTTTGTTATTGTTCTTCTGCCCCTGATCACCTTAATATTTGAATTTAGTGTTTAATGATTAGTGATCCGCTGCAAGAAAAAACTTGACAGCTATTAGAAGTTACAGTAATGCACTGAGATGTATGATCAGGCATGCATGGAAATAATTTATTGGGAAACACTAGTTGGGGGTGGGGAAAATGCAAGATGTATTTATTGTATTGCAGTAAACCTTCTGCATAGCTTAACTCACTGTAAATCACATGGTAGCAGAAGACCTGCAAATCCTTTAAGGTGACATTTGCTTGGAGTCCTTCAGAGCTGCCTGGCACCTCTGAGGCTGCTGCAGGGAAAGTTCAGTGTGGGGCATGTGAAAGGAAACAAGGGTGCTAAACAAGGCTTCAAAGACTTGACCTGAAAACCTGTTTTGGTACCTAACATGTCTGCTGACCCATGTTAATTTAACATGGTTTGACAGGCTGATGATTAAAAAGCAAGTTATAAGGGAACCATTAATGCTTATGAGAGGTGACAAGGCATTCTTGTATCTAAGAAAATGCAAGTAATTATGAGAAGTTTTAAAGCATGTGTACAGTCATCCATCAAAACACATTAGTTTCTCAAAAGGGCAGTGGGGAATTTTTCATAAGATTAATGTAGCTTGAGAATAAATTGATTGCAGGAAGAGGAAAAATTATACTGTGTTTCATATTCACTCTGTGTATCCCTTTACAACTTAACTATTTTTGATGGTTTAAATGCTGTGGCCTTGAAATGGCTGGATACACAAAATTCCTTGCAAAGAAAAAGGAACAGAGTTGTGAGATTATCATGGGACACTTTGCAAAGTATGAATCATATCACAGTTTTCTCTCAAGTACCGAACTTGTGGAGAAGTAAGCAGAAAACACTTCAGGTTGCTGTTAACAGCATTTTTTTGTTCTTATTTAAACATCAGTCACACTGAAGAGTGGAATGTAAGCAGCTTATGTTTCATGTCTTATATCCTATCTGGCTGGCTTTCAAAACCAGCCTCTGAACTTGCTTGCCAATTAAAGGTGGTTAATTATATTGATGATTGAAACAGATGCTGTTTTGAAATAAATATGAATTAATAAAAATGTTGTTTTGTCTTCCTGACAAAGATAACCTTGAAGATCGTTGTCCTGAGTTCTTAAGTGTTTTATAGCCGAGTTTTGTTCCTGTTCCAAGCCCTTGTTGCTGTTCTGCATGTTTGTGTGTATGCAAAGGGGTGCATCCTGTGGCCCTTTCTGTTGAGATGAAAGGTTTTCCTTGAGATTTTTGTGAATAGAGGGAGAAAACATTCATCTAGAGCTGTAAAATGGGGATGGACAGACTGAAAACTCATGTGATTCTCTGTCTCCCCGCTCTCCCATACTGGAGAGAGAAAAGAGAAAAAAAGAGATGGGCCTTAGCCTGTCCTTCTATAGCGATAAAGAAACACAAACTAGCATGCCTGCACCAGATATTTTTTTCTTCTGGTTAACTGAGGAAATGGGGCTAAACAGCTAGGAGCAGGAGACTGATATGCAGAAAGTGGAAGAACATGAGTTTGTTAGACTGTAGTTCCAAATTCTT